TTGTGCCGGTGAAGTGCAACCCAAATGGACCATGCCGGGTCGGGTCAAGTACATACCAAATATAGTTATGGACTTAGACATTAATCCAACAGTCTCCCACTTGGATAAGTCTAAAACTATTATTGAGTATGACTTGAAAACCTAACTAGCAATCGTAGCTCTTAAAGCCGTTGTCGAACTCTGACCTTGTCAATGACTTGTCCATTAGATAAGGGATCATATATTCCTCCATTCTAGATATCATATGAACTGTGACATGGATTATAATCATTCTCTCTGTCCATTTGTTGTTTCCCGATTTTCGATTTATGATGACTGACTGATTGAACAAATCAAATCAGTCCTGGCTTGGCTAAGCACTCACATGTGTCATCGCTAAATCATCGAGGGGCCCACAGATATCGCTTTTATCCCGAAGGTAAAAGGAATGGATAAACTTCGACTCATATGGCTTGTTCTACTACTTGTTGAATCATACACAAAGGCACATTTTATAACATCGAGTTACCAAATGCGTTTTCGTGCAATCAATGTATAACCAACTCATAGTAACAACTCATATCTCTAGGTTTGAAGAATATAAGATATTATCGTCTCATGATCACTCGTGATAAAATCCATGAAGTGATTCAAATGAGCGCGGGTTGAATCCAATACTCAGAACTTATGAGCACTCATGAGTGTTGTAGCACCACTTTGTCCACCAACTTGGACCTCTACAAACCAACACATGACAGTCTTGATTCATATCTACTTCCAACATATGACCGACTGTGGATGGTTTGAATAACTTAATCATTCAGGAAGAGCGACTTAGTTATTTCTGGAAGTCAAAACATGCAAAGTGAAACACAAGAATAAATGAATCAAATATGGTATCAAACCCTATGAATATAAATAAACATTTTTATTTATCACCATACTGATTACTCATTATTCATTGTTTCAGTTTTATCAACTTTATACTTGAATTAAAAACACTAGTTGTCCCATGCTCCAAGCATGTACACTATGTTTTTCTTAAACAATAGCTTTGCCATACACCAAGTATGCACTCTATGTTTGTCTATGATCCTTACTTTGTGAAATAAACCAATTAAACATAATTTCAATGATTCTAATTTCACACTCCCAAATCCTTATCGAAAAATGTGAGAATTTCAAATTCCTATCATTTATCGAAATCTGTTTAGATTTTAAACTTATATGCACTGACCCTCCTGTAATGAATATGTACAAAGTCACAAAGACTTGTCAACAGTCATTATAAGGTATTCCAATGGAGATCAACTAAGTCTCAAAGTACATTGCTTTGGACATGCTTCTTGCATTAAGTTTTCTAATCTTACACAGATAACTTCCACCTATGGAGACAACTCCATATTCTCATTTTGACTATCACTTCTGAATAAGAGATGCCTCTTTTCAGAATATGTCAATATGGTCCTTCCAAAATTAGCACTATACTTCCAACTGTCCCTAAGCAACCAATCTTTGGTAAACCTCAGATTGTCCTCGACAATTGCTTAATCATTTTAGCCATATCCAATTCTAGACTTTTTCCCTTCTTAATGCCTCTGGGCATTTGGAAAAATTTAGAAATGACAAATATTATAGCACATGCAATCGATCCTGTACCCAAAGCAAATGGTACACGATTCATGATGTCTCACATAAAGACATGATTCTAGACCAGTCTTTTGCTACAATATTTTTATTTGCCATGTTTTCAAAATTTGACTATGAAGAGGGATGCCGTAATCATAATCGAATTTTGAGAACGCAATATATAGAATTTCCTTAAGTTGAACCAATCCAACATGAAATTCATATATATATTCTTGACTAAAGATGATTAAGGTCTCAATCTAAGCCTTTAGAACTGAAATGAAGTATATCATCTCCCTTAATTATAGCAAAACAACTTTTTCAATCCCTGCAGCCTCACGAATTGAAACTTTTGTTTTCTATAATTAACATTGCTAACTTGCAACACTAACAATAATTATCATGCTCCCACTAACATGATGATTATTAGCATAACACTTATGCTCCCACTAGCTTTGACATGCACTCAGAAATCAGCTGGACTTCTAGAAATCAACAAAACATCATAATTCCAATTATTAAACTCAAAATTAAAACAATTTTTAATTAATTGTTTAAGTTATGAACCCAAGAGTTTTAGAATTCAATTCTTTTTTTCATAAAAAACTTTTCTCAAATTCCAAAACTTGAGGGCAAGTTTTGTAATTCTTGAAAACCTTTGGATTCCATAACTTATGGAATTAATGGTGTTTTATGATGAAACTTTCCATGTTCCATAACTTAAGAACAAGTTATGGAATTCTTTAAAACATTAACACCAAATTTTGTAACTCCATAAAAACTTTAAATCAATTTTTTTTTAAAAAAACTTTAATATCCATAACTTATGGAAGTTTCAAAACCCTTAAGATCACAACTTTAAAAAAAACTTTTGAGCTCCAAAATTTTATGACAAAATTTGTAACTCCTTAAAACATTTAGATCAAACTTTTAAAACTAATAAAATAATCATATCATTTTATCTTTTACTAAATTTGACCTAATTCAACTCATATAACAAATGATTCAAATTTTACAAATAATTCGTTTTTCACAAAACAAGTAATTATCTTAAAATTTGACAAACATCATGTTTTTTTTTCTTTTTTTTTCCAACTTGAAAATAAAACATTTGCATCAATATAATAGAAAACAACCCATGGCTCTGATACCACTGTTGGGTTTTGAGCATTCTAACACTCCTATGGTGTACATGCAACCCTATAAACCTTGGATCTATGTTTTCTCTATTATACATGCAAATATGAACTATTCCAAGGTTTCATCCTAACTAGCATATTATGAAGCACCTATACTACAAAGTTCTAGTTAGATGACATACCTTTTGATGTAGCTTGATGTCTTCAAGCTTTAAGAGCTTAGCCCCAATAGTGTGGAAGCCTCAAATGGAATCACAAATCACCAAAACACCTTGGAAGAACTTGAGAGAATATGTATGCACACTAAAATCGGCCCACTCTTATTTTCACACACTTGTGCCAATTTTGTGAGCCAAGGACCCCTTTATATATTATGGAGGATTAGGGTTACATCCATGTAAACCCTAATACCCATGACCTTTAATTTACATAGGATCCATGGGTTAAAAGCTCCATGGACCATCCATGAAAGCTTAGCCCAACCTAAATGAACTTGGCCCATTCCATATATATATAAGAGTCCATATTTTTAATTAGTTCTTTTTTATCACTTAATTAATTCTAAATTAATTCTTGATCAATACTAATTAAATAATATGATTCCATATTAATATATTAGAACTTATAATATATTAATATAAATCATAAATATACTATTCTCAAAAGACTATCCATATAAATTGTGCCGGTGAAGTGCAACCCAAATGGACCATGCCGGGTCGGGTCAAGTACATACCAAATATAGTTATGGACTTAGACATTAATCCAACAGATTGTTATTTTTATTATTTAACTTTTGCAAACAAAACCCCTTTTGTGACCAAAGTACCTTACACGAAGAGGTATAGATTTTATCTCGTGTCTCTGTGGTTCAACCCTGCTTGCCTTGTACCACTTTTTAGTGCATTAAAACATTGTATTTGGAGTCTATTGTACCCCTATCATTTGTTGGGTTTGACATGCCTAACAAGGCATAATGTGTTTGAGCACTATGTCTTGATGTTTGAACCTTTCTGTTGTGCGTTTTCAGTATGGTGGCTATCAGAGGTTCATGATCATGTGTTGGCAACCCAGAAAGGTCAGGTCTTAGTGATGAGGAGATTCGCGAGATCATTGCTGCCGAGGTGGCAGTGGCGATCAGAGAGGCGATTCCGGATATGTTTAGGTTTGTCAATACGATGCTGATTAATGAGTTCGACATGAATTATGTCGATGTCTCACAGGCTGTTGTTGCAGTGTTACCACACCCATTGCAGTTGTCACCACTGCAGGACTTCAGAAAGGTAGGACGATGCATTACCAATAGTTCAGTAGTACCAAGCCTTCGGAGTTCAGCAGGGACAAGGACCCGATTATCGCTTTGAGATGGATATATGACGTGGAGGGGTGTTTCTACACTTGTTTGTGCCCCGATAACCAAAAAGTGAAGTTTGCATTGAACCTTCTTCGATAGGAAGCGAAGGATTGATGGAAGTTTACGACTCAGACCTTTTCGCGTGCAGAGCATTGGTGATTGTGAGAAGGCGAAGTCGTGACAGTACACACTTATCAGTAACATTAAAGATTAAGCATTTATTATATTACTCTGATTTTCAAACAATTGTATTTTAGAACAAATGAGTCTTCTTAACTTGAGTTTTATGGAAATGGTGTTTTACCTTAATTAAAAATGAAAAAATTGTTTGTGAAAATGGGATGTTAATCACGACTGTTTTGTTTCACGATTTTCTAAAATGGAACTAAGAGGTGGGTTTTCTGAGGCAAGGAGATATAGGGAGGAGGGTAAATGCGAAGGAGATTGGTGAAGGCTTCTAACGATGGTGTTGATGGCAAAAGGTCGATGGTTTTGAAAAGTGGAGTTCGACGATGGTCTTCCAACTATGTGTGTTTGTGTGTGTGTGTGAGAGAGAGTGTGTGTGTGTGAGTGTTTGTGTGTGAATGAGAGATAGAGAGTATTTATTTCTTAATAAAAAAAATTAATAATAATATAATTTTGAGAAAAAACTTGTGAAATGACAAATATACCCTCATATGAGGAGCATGTGACCAACTTAACTGGAGAAAGATAACGACGGTTAAATTGAGAGACCAATTTTGCATCGAAGTTTCAAATATGGACCATCCATACGTGAAAAAAAATTTGGCCCAAAACTGCACTTTTTGGTAAACCTAAGGGACCAATTTTGCAATTTACTCCAAAAAAAAAAAAAAAAAAAAAAAGCGAACGCATGGTGAGGGATATCGAAACTAATACGGTTATGTCACGAAATCAAGAATCCTCGTAGGTTCCTTGTAGGTTCCAGACGGAGAGAGAGGGGATGACAGATGCATGTATATCCATCTATCCATATATATCTTTGATTTCAACAAATTTTACTACTGAAAATCACTTCAGATTGTGCGAAGATTTTTACAAACAGAAGAAGTAAAATCAAAATGGAAGGAAATGGAGCACCACCACCACCATCGGCGGCGATAATCGAGCACAAGGCGTATGCTCGAATTGGACTACTCGGTAACCCCAGCGACGTGTATTACGGACGTACGATCTCCTTAAACATCTCCAATTTTTGGGCTTCTGTTCGTTTGGAACCATCTTCAGATCTCGTCATCGTCCCTCACCCGACTCACGATCTCGTTAAATTCACTTCACTCTCTCACTTGGTACTCCTCAATTCGCTTTCCGCTTCTTCTTAACTGCATCGTTTATCCTTTAATTCCTGATCTATGATTTTATGATCCACTTCCCTATCTCACTTGTCATTTTTCATGTTAATTACGTTTTCGGACTTACGAACTTTGTGGTTCTCGATCTGTGTTGTTCTATTTTAATTCGATTCGGTGATGAATATAAACGACGGATTTGATGTACTTCAATGTTGCTAAGATTGAGAACAGTGAATCGATGCTTCTCGAGATTATACTGTTGGTGCATTTTAACTTGTAGGAGTCAAATCCAATGAAAGTTCTCATCTATTTTTTACAAGTATAGAATTTCAGAAGTTGAATCTTAACGAATTTCATATCCATATTCAATTCGGAAGGTACTGTGCTTGATCTAAAACGTCAAAATGTAGGCTGTTTTCTGCCATTAAACTGTAGTTACACTTACATCATTCAATTCGATCTGCTATATTTTGTTCTTACTCCTGAAATGAAATTCCTGCTGAGAACTAGAATCGTATTCTCACACATTTGTGTTACAGACAAATCGATTGGAGAATGAAGGTTACTATGGAGGTGTACGCCTCCTCATGGCAACTTGTAAAGTTTTTACCAAATACTGCAAAGAACAGGGGATCGATCTTCACAACAACAACTTTTCTATTTCATATGAGACCAACATCCCTCGTCAGGTAAATCTTTCAAGTTTCAACCATTTCTGTTATCTCTTCTTCATTGTATATCCAATGATCCTTCATCCCAAATCTGGTGTTATCATTTTGGAAATTCTATCTTGCCCTTTTCATCTCTCAGACAGGGTTATCTGGTTCCAGTGCCATTGTATGTGCTGCATTTAGCTGTCTTCTTGACTTCTACAATGTCAGAGACAAAATAGGAGTGGAGATTAGACCTCAACTTATCCTCAATGCAGAAAAAGAACTTGGAATTGTTGCAGGTTTACAAGACAGAGTAGCTCAAGTTTATGGAGGCCTTGTATACATGGTATTAGACATAAATAATTTAGTTTTTCTCATAGTTTTTAATATATAATATAATAAAATCTATTTGCAGGAGTTTGACAAGGAGAAGATGGATAAATATGGGCATGGAAATTACACAGCGTTGGATACAAGTCTTCTTCCACCTCTTTATCTCATCTATGCTGAAAATCCAAGTGATTCTGGAAAGGTATTTAAATAGTTAAATACAAGAAATAGCAAATTACTTGTATTAATTTTGTTTATAAAATAAAGTTTTCATGACTTTAGGTGCATAGCACAGTTCGACAAAGATGGTTAGATGGAGACGAATTTATAATATCATCAATGGAGGAAGTGGCAAACTTAGCTCTTGAAGGAAAAACAGCTTTACTTGAAAAAGATTATTCTAAACTTGCTACCCTTATGAATCAAAACTTTGATCTAAGAAGGTAAAACAAGAAATAGAAATGTACTTTCATTGATTTGTTTGTTATTGCATCCTATTTTCATTTCTTCATATTACAGCATTATACTTTGAAAAAAGAAAAATCTACCTAAGTCCTAAATTATAATTTATAGCAATAGGGAAATCTCCATAAGAATATCCTTATATTTTGGCCTCATAATCGATTTTTGTCCTTATATATATATTTTTTATTCAATTAAGTCTCTAAAACCGGCAATTGTATTTATTTTGACCATTTTACCCGTTAAACAGGTCATGCCTCTTTCAAAGTTCACACTTTTGGCCTAGATTCTAAATTTTATTACAAATTTGGTCAAAATTTTACACTTTTGGCCCAGATTGCAAAATTTTGTTATGAATTCTCCCTAAACTTAGTTTTTTTACATGTTTTTTTTTTGAAGTTAGAGTGCATTGTTACGAATTCACCCTAAATTTAGGGTGAATTCATAACAAAATTTTGCAATCTGGGCCAAGAAGTGTCAGTTGTGGACCAAAATTGTAATAAAGTTTTGCAATCTGGGCCAAAAGTGTAAATTTTTGATCAAAATTTAATAAAATTTTGCAATATGGGCCAAAAGTGTAAAGTTTTGACAAAATTTGTAATAAAATTTAAAATCTGGGCCAAAAGTGTAAATTTTGAAAGTGGAATGATATGTTTACCGGGTAAAAAGGTTAAAATGAATACAATTGCCGGTTTTAGGGACTTAATTGAATAAAAATAAATATACAATGACTAAATCGATTATAAAGCCAAAATATAAAGGCTATTATTGAAATTTCCCTATAGCAATATCAGTGTGATGTGATAATAAGAATAGAAAATTGAAATTAGAAAGGTATTTCAGGCGGATGTTTGGGGATGCGGCGCTTGGTGGTTTAAACATAGAAATGGTGGAGGTGGGAAGAAGAGTTGGGGCAGCTACAAAATTCACGGGCAGTGGTGGGGCAGTTGTGGCATTCTGCCCGGACGGAGCATCACAAGTTGAGCTTCTAGAAGAAGCTTGTAGGAAGAGTGGGTTCTTTATTCAACCTGTGAAAGTTGTGCCTTCTCTTCTTAATGAAATCGATGTTAGAACTTTATCATCAAAAAAATGAAGACTTGAGTGAGTGTTACTAAATGCTATGTGTAAGGTGTTTTATTATTATTATTATTATTGGATTTGTAGGTTTAATGTGTAGAAATTGTGACATTATGAAGTTTGTATGTTCTATGTTCGTTTTGATGAATATATTTAGGAATGGAATCTGTTGAATTAGGAAATTGAAACATGAAGGAATTTTACAATAATGTTTTTGAAAAGAATGAAATCGAGGAAATTCAAATTTTATAAAAGAATTAAAAAGTAGCTGATAAACTAGTTTTTTAAAATTGTTATTTTACAATAATGGTTTTGTTTGGTTCATTACAACTAGTTTATTTTTCAAACTTTTTAAAATTGTAATTTTTGGCAAGCAAAAAAGTAGCTAATAAATTAGCTTTTAAAAAAACTATTTTAAATAACTTTTTAGGAGCTTTTTGAAAATTTCCCAAATATACCATTAATTAATTAAAAAAATATATTATTCTAAATGTTCTTTATGTCATTTTATATTTTTCATTTAGTTTATCAGTTAGTTTTTACCGAACGTCATTTTTTATCAGCTAGTTTTTTAACTATCATCTAGCTTTTCAGTTATTACCTAATTTTTCAGGTATCATTTAATCCAAAAAAAAAAACTTAACTTCAAGAGTGCTCTTCTAATTATTCTTTTCTATTCAATATCCAAAAAAACAAAACATCATTGGCTTTTTTTGAGAAAAAAATATCAAAATAATCCAAAATAAAAAAAATCTTTTAATGGTTAAACAACAACATACAATAGTTTTTATAAAATTTTACTAATTTATTATCATTTATTTAAGTAGTTTTGCCTAGAAAAAATTAGATAATTTTAAGATAGTATTTTGTCGATAATTTTAGATAATCCAATATGCAATAGATTGTTTACAAGAAAGTATCATAGGGATTTTTGGTTGAAATTTCCATGTATTCATATTTGTATATCAAAATCTAGCATCCAAAATTTCTAAATATGTAAATTGCAAACCATATGCACCACGGAATGGAATCCCATATTCCAATTCCGTTGTATTCCACCAAAATCAACAAAGTCAGCAAGAAGCAAGTAAAACATTTGAAAGTTTTTAACTAACAACTTATGTACAAACATTACAACCTTCAATTTTCTTAACAAATGCTTCAAAATAAATCACAACTTTCAATACTCACAAAAACCTCAACATTTCATAATCTGTACTACAATAATTACTTGTACAACATGTCAACATCAACTAACTCTACTACATTCATGGTTAGTATCAATATCATCAGCTGTAATCCTATGTATCTATGTCAATATGGCAACAGATTCTTGGATAAGATCAAGATTTCTTTAATGATTCCGACTTGGCTTACTTTCATCGAAGAAATCTCATTCTTCACATAATAATGATGTGATTAGTTTTCGTGGGGATGATTCCCAAATTGGTAGATACACAAATGGTTGTTTCAACAATTGCTCTTGAGCACTACATAGGGCTTCAGCAACATCACATAATCTCGAAACTTGGTTTATGGAGGCTTCTTGAGCTTCAACCTAATCAAATTACCCCCAAATTAGAGATAAATACGGGTTTCCTGATTGAATGCCCTAGGAAAAGTGGAAAACTCCCTCCTTTTTCGAAAATTGACAATGATAGTGATGCAAATTTTGAATTAATAGAGGGCATTGTTTAGGGTTACAAACACAAACGAACTGAAATTTGAAAATGCGATTTGATACCTGAATCAGGAGGGTTTGAGCGAGTTCATGATACGTGGAATTCGTCGAATGATCTGTTGATTGGGAGACATACGGATCTGGTAACGCCGTGAGTAGTGGTTGTGTTTGGGTACGCTCTTGCAATGCCTTCAAGGTGTTCGACAAATGTTCCCATTGGTTAATCTCCTGCTGATACCTTGTTTTGAGTTTTAACAGTATTGTCTTCTTTCTTTCCTTGCGATTTCTCTCTTCGGCAGCAGGATCCGGCGGCGGTGTGACGGAGGAGGTGGAGACGGTGGGATCAACGCGGAGGCGCTTGAGACGCTTGTAAACGAAGCCGTCGTCGTTGATGAGCTCCCAATCTTCGTCATGAAGTTCCATGGAGTTTTTTCAGGGTTTGAAATCTGATGACGTTAGCAAAACTCCACGGGTGGATTGAATCGAAAATGGGGAATGAAATTTGAAAAAGTGGAGCGGAGGGAGTTTCGGAAGTATTTGGAAGAAGAAAGTGTGCCAATACAGTGATACACGTCACACAAGATGGCATCTGTTCGTGGCTCCATGAAAAATTTAGGATGCATTTTCATATGTAAAACCGTTTTCATTTTCTATAAAAATGTTTTTGGAAAATAGGGTTGAGTTTTCATTTTCAATTTTCAATGAAAACGCGTTTGGTTGGAACTAGGGATGAGTTTTGGAACCGGACTGGTTTGGAACCGGAATCGGTTTTCCTATATTATAAGAACCGGGAACCGGACCGCCGGTTCTAGCGCCGGTTCCGGTTCCGGTCCCGGTTTTCGGTTATTTTTCAAAGTAGAACCGGTTGAAATACTATAGATTATATGCTATCTTCTGGAGCTTGTAAATGATTCAATATTTAACCAAATTATGATTTTTTACATTCTAAATTGAAGTACAAACACTAAATTACATGATGAAAAAAGAATCAAGTAATTCCGACTTCATATGAGTGAGTTATGCGCATTTTAAAAGCGGGGACAGATTCCAAAAAAATAAAAAATGCTGAAACAGAAAAAACGCAACATTGATATGTTGTCTTCCGGAGTCTATAACTGATTCAATATCTAACCAAAATATGTGTTTTATAGTCTAAAATGAACTACAAACACCAAATTACATGCTGGAAAAAAAATTAAGTAATTCCGACGTCATATGAATGAGTTATACACATTTAAAAAATGGGACATATTCAAAAAAACAAAAAAATAATGCTGAAATAAAAAAAAACGCAGTATCGATATGCTTTCTTTCGGGGCATGTGTCTGATTCAATATCTAACCAAAATATATGTTTGTACCGTCAAAAATGAATTACAAACTCCAAATTATATGTTGGAAAAAAAATCAAATAATTCGACTTCATATGAGCGAGTTATGTGCATTTTAAAAAATGAAAAAAATGTCAAACCGGTTCCGGTTTTTAGAACCGGGACCGGTTTTCATAAAAATGGAGAACCGGTAACCGGACCTATTACCAATTCCGGTTCCGGTTCCGGTTCCGGCGGTTCTAATGCTCGTCCCTAGTTGGAACGGGTGGAATTTTCATTTTTCATCTTAGAAATTTGGAAAACTTTGGAAAACCGTAAAAATCACTTTTCTAATTTACATACAATTTGGAAAACTGAAAATTTTCATTTTCTTAGAAAACTTTGGAAAATTGAACTAACCAAACGCGTTTTCAAAATTTCCATTTTTCTTGGAAGATTTTCCTAGAAAGCTGGAAAATTTTCCACAACCAAACGTACCCTTAAAATTTTAAAATAGACGAGTAAACTACAGTTTTGGCCCTTGTTGTTTACACCCATATGCAATTTTAGTTTCGTTTTTGAATTTTAGACATGGCTAGTCCTTGTAATTTCCAAAAGTTGCGCGCATGGCCTTGAGACTAACTCCGTAAATTCACATTTGTTAAACACCTGTAAATACAATTATATCAATCTTTTTATCTTTTCGTTTTTTTTTAAAAATTACTATAAACTTCAAGGATCAATTATGTAACAATGAAAGTATGTCCTAGCCATCAACTCCCCATCGTCCTCAACAATCTTTGTCTTTTCCTTTTATGCTAGTCCAAGACCTTCGGCGTCGAGGCCGCAGGCCCGGCCCAATACATAGGCAAGATGGGCCAAAACCTAGGGCAGCAAAATATGTAGGGCATCTATTTAGTCTGGTAAGTAATGATGTATATATCAGTTCGGCCCAAACAATTTAGCCGAGTATAGAGGATTTTTGTTTTCTCGACACAAACAACATAGTGGATGTTAGAAATTTGGGGTATAGAAAGGCTTGAAAATTCTGAGAATTGTGATATCATTTTCAGATTAAAGTATCTGGGTGGTACTCTCAATCTTTAATCGGATAAGACTCAGAATATGAGAGCAAGAACAGAGAATGTCATTGTTATGAATTTCGAATGTAACAGAAAATGAGACCAAAACCAGATTTATGATCTCTGTTTGAAAACTGTCATATGACAGTTTCAAAATGTCACAAGACTACCAAAACTGACATAAAAACGAGTATTTGGATAAGGGTCAAAACAATGATCAATTCTCTGAAAAACGGATATTTCAACCCCAGCCAGGGGCTCTGCTCCTTGGACCCCGCTCCTAGGGGCGTTGCCTGTAACGCCCGCAGAGCCGGGTTAGTCAATTTAGAGACAATGAGCATCAAAAATGAGTTTTTGATGGAAGATTATTTAGAAGGAATAGTCTTAATAAAAGTTGTAGCATATGTTACAAGGATTCCATACATATAAAGAACGCTGAAATCCGACTTATAACGAAGAAGTTATGGCCCGTTGAAGTTTTACGGCAAAACCGGCACGACACGGCGCGACGTAAATAGTGAATTTACGATAGAAGACTTTTTGGCCTTAGTGATCTAAACAAAAGTCGTAGTATACGTTAAACCGAGAGCGTGCATAAAAAGAACGCCAAAATCTGAATTCGTATGAGGAAGTTATAATTTTTCTAAAATTTGGCATAGCAGTGCACAACCCGGAATTCGAATTTTAGATCGAGAGGTTTTTGGCCTACGCAACCTAAATGAGAGTTGAATATCTCATTAATAGAAACTCAACGATAAAAAATACAAACGAAAACGGAGTCCGTATGTAGAAGTTATGAATTTTACGCAGACATTTAACAGTGTAATCACCTCCTACTGTTAAATTTAAGATCGGTCGAGAATTAGCCGACGGAGTAAAAAGGAAAGTTGTAGATTTTATTTTTACCTACGTGTGGATATAAATAATGTCAAAAACGAAGCTCGTATGCGAAAGTTATGGATGAAGCTTAGTCTCTACTTTTCGAGCGCGGCGAATTCGATACAGTTTTGTAAATCCGAGATAGAATGAGAATTAGCCAACGGGGTCTAAATGAA